GTACTGGTATGTCAAATTTGAGGTGCTATTTTACTTTGTAACATGTGTTAATTTCTTTTTCAAACAATGTTTCAGACAGACGGTTTGGCAGCCTGAAAGGTTCATCATGGCCACTTCTGTGCTGATGACTTTTTTGGTTTTCATGCTGTTTTCCACAATAACATACACTCATGACATCAGAGTTCGCCAAGCCTTACTTGCAGTTCCAAAGTCAAACATCCCCATACCAACAGAAAGGACAGAAGTCACTCCAGACACAACTGTGAGTGGTTACTCAGCAGAAGACTTTACAGACAGCAGCCAAACTGAAACCACACCAAGTAGTGGGGAGTTGTCTGGAAATGCCTCTGATTTTTGGAATGTGGATACGAATGGAACAGAAGAGGGCATAGTAGATAAATACATCAATAGCACAGGAACTGGCAACATCACGGAGTTGGCACTGAACTCCACTGAGCTGTTTGGTAACGATACTGTCATTGCTTCTGATGGGATGGAAAACAACACGACTAACATGACGGCTGAGATAAACACAACAGCCAACATCACAGACCAGCTTGAGGAAACTGCAGATAATTCTACAGAAGTCTCAGTAAATTCAACAGAACTCACAGCCAACTCAACAGAGTTTCCAGCTAACTCAACAGAATTTCCAGCTAACTCAACAGACTTCCCAACTGATTGGACAGGGACCCTTCCTACCATGAGCCTTGGTACAGAAACCACAGGTTCCACAGGTTATGGCACAACAGAGAGTTCAACAGCCTCTGTGTACGAGACCACTCAGACCATGGAGACTTCAACATTGGAGGAGCCCACTTCCACCAGTCCCATGTGGGAATCCAGCACTGCTATGACCACTCCTCAGGTCAGCAGTACACAGGGTTTACTTTTTCTCTTACCTTCAAAATAACAGACTTTAACCAAAACTTCTACTTCTGTGACTAATACAGAATCAGAAACACCTTTTCTTTCTATCTTATTGGGAACAAAAAAGGTAACGTTACAGGTAGGGCTGCGGACCGGTACACTGTACCGGTCCAATACCGTAAAAATCGTTTCGGTACAGGTCCAAAATACCGGATCATGAAGTAACGAGTATATACCGAAATAGCTAGTTTACACCATGTATATGACTTAAGATAGGTAAATCCTACCACAAAGACGAAAAATTAGCACTGGAAAAGACGTAAACACCGTCGATTGATTTGAGATCCTCAGTCTCACGAGACATCGCGAGAGTGTGGCTGATCCAGGGTTGTGATTGGAAGATACTGACAAGTTGTCAACACTTTATTATTGTTTGTGTCATGATTGAAAAAGTGAAGAACACGTGTTAATTTGTCAAATTGTTCAGGTACAGGTACAGGTCCGGACCTGTACCTAAACCTCTGTACCGGTACCTGTACCTGTACCTGATGTTGCGTTTAGGTACGCAGCCCTAGTTACAGGTGACAGAAACATTTCAACGATTATTTTGATTTCAGATCTCCACAGAGGAGTTGGCTCTCTGGTCAACAACTACTAGTAAGTTCACACCCACACCAACCACTGAGTCTACATCCACACCTGCTACTGAGTCCACACCTGTAGCTGCCACTGAGTCCACATTAGGTGCCATGGAGTCTACACCTGCAGGTGCCACACCTACCACAGAGTACACCTCAACATCTAATGAACAGCAGACGACGCCAATGGAAGCACCAAAGACTGTCTCAGCCAAGGAAGACAACAAGACCGAAGGAGACAAGGATGAAGGAGGTATGACGTACCTTTACAGGGAGATGTGTCTGCAGAATATGGGGTGGTGCAGGGTGGAAACATACTGGCCCTTTGTACTCTATTGTGGAAAAATTGTCATGTGTCTATGTTCCCAGGGACACCTGAAAAACAGGTCACAGACCTGAGTGTGATCTACTGGCCATGGTGCTTAAAACTGCAACCATTACAAATAAATTTGAGATAATTGTGTTTTAAGGTTTTGTTAAAAAGTAGTTTGTGTTCCTCCAGGTG